CAGGCAATGAGAGGTTGTGGTCGGTGGTTAGGCGATGAACCGCCCTTTCTTAGAGGACGGTTCTTTGGCTCACAGGCTGCATTTTGATGTATTAATGCAGTTTACAAGGCCAATAATGATCATATTTAAATATGTATTGGAACTTAGCAATCAACGTGAGTTCTTATCCTTCTTTTGTTCTCTTATTCAGTTGAAAAGGTTTTATCTATGTCGATGTAATATCTCCTCAAGTGTTCCAAGTATCGATCATTTCATTTCTAGCTGCTTCTACTGCCTCCTTTTCCAAGTTTATGGTTTCTACCACTCACCAATTTTGAACGTTTGGTTTATTGGCTTGATCTTGAACATGCATAACCTGTTTGAAATGTAAATGCATGAGCCAACAATTTAACCTTCATATGAAGCAGCCAAAAATAACGACCTCTATTGTTATAGTGTTACAGGAGTGGATGGAGTATATTAAACCTCCATTTTTGTGTTTTTAATAGTAGGTTGGAGATGTCCTTAAATGAAACTAGTAGATAGACTTACATTTTAAATACATATAGGTATGCATTTAGTCTACCTACCTGACATAATATTACTACTTATTTTGATGCCAAATGTCGGTCTATTATCACATCAAAACAATATGCATGCAAAAACACACACCAATTCAACTCTCGTCCAAATCCCTTTTATTTTTGTTCTTTTTTCCCCGATATTTGGACGTATGTTTTTAAATTGATTATTAAAATTCTAATAATGAAAATCAAATAATTGTTTAATTAAAATTAAGCACAAGTAGTTAGGCTTTGCAAGAGCTTCCCTATGTTTTACGAATTAGATCTTGATAAGTAGGCGTTGGTGTTCTCATATATAACCTAACTATTAGAAGACAGCTTTATGGACACCATTTTACACAATTTGGAACTATCGAGTTTTCCCGAATGACCCACTTGAGGTTGTCGATTGTTTTTTTGCTCTTCAACACCTCTCATTCCGTTGGATTTCCAAGCGGGCCAAAAGTTTCTCTTTGTCGTGGGCGAAGTGGTATGGGGGTTTTGGCTCCCCTGCTTGGTCTGGGTTTCTTTAAATTGTTTTTGAGTTTCGTATTGTTAGCATCTTGCTAATTTTGTTTGTTATCGTCTTTTAGGTGTTTTCTACTTCTTGATGAAAGCTAGCGCCCCCCCCCCCCCCCCCCGGCGCTATTTGTATCTTTTTTTTCCTATTTAATCACGTAGTTTGTTGCCTGTTTTTCAGGAAAAAAAAAGTTACAGTAACTGGTCTTTAAAAGTGAGTGTTTTATACTACATCACATGTTTATACAAAATATTATTCAGAGTAATTTGAAAATGAATAAGTTTTTTTTAAATACTACATATAATTTAATCATTACAATTTCAAGTTGCAAATAATCAATTTTACAACATATTCAAAATCTGTCATTTAGAATAGTTGTCAAGCCGTTTTTCTTTGTTGGCATAGAAAAAGTTAAACGGGTCGATTATTTAATTAAAAGAGGAATTTTAATTTTGGAAAAGCAAATGATGCCGATGGACCTTTTTGTTTTGCTGAAACAAACTAGTCCTTAGATACAAACTAGTCTTTGGATACAAACTAATATCGTAGACTTTTGAAATTTTGTACTTCCAAAGAAAATGCAACAAGTTTCTATTTAGAGTAAACTGCGGTTAGCATTCCTGTTGTTTTATTTTGCTTTGAAAATCATTCATGGTCACTAACTCTGTTAAAAATTTCAGTTAAATATGGGATTTTTCATCTTTTTATCTGATTCCGTCTTTTTCTGTTTTGTCCATATCTATTAATTATATTATATTACATAAACATTTATTATTATAAAATATTATATTATATTTAATATTATATTTTTTATACATATATATATATATATATATATACATACACAGGGGAAAAACAATAATAATAATAATAGTAATAGTAATTTAGATTATTATTTTTTTGAAATTTAGACGACAAACAAACAAAAGAAAAAAAAAACTAATTAATTAAGGATAATAGGTAATTATTTTTTATTAACCTGAATATCTAACCCGTTATGCGAGCTGACTAATCTCAGGACAACCACCTACTTTGCAGATAATCCGGAGTCACCACATTTGAACATTCGTAGCCACAAGGGGTTTTTTATTTTTCCTTGGATTTGAACCTGGAACCTCGAGGTACTTTTGACCTTTGGAGCCAAGTTCAAACCAATTAGACACCACCCTTGTGGTAGGTAACTTTTCTTTATTTTAAGTAGCATATGAATAATTATACATTCTTTTAATAAACTCATGTTAATATACATTTTTATCAGTAGTGTTAAAGATGGGCATATGGATCGGGTCTAACGAACTAGTCTGTATTAATCTAAGCAATAGCAGATTGTCAATCTTGTTTTGGACCAATTTTTTTTTTTTTGAGACAAACCAAGTGAAGTAAAGACCATTTTTTTTGTTTGAACTAGATTAGACCTCAACCACTAGACCAGATAAAAACCCTTTGGTTTATAAATTTTTTAATATGAACAAGACCAAAAGCTTGGACCATGGACCATGGACCGAACCAACAAGACAGATTTTTTGAACAACTTTGTTTTTACCGAGATTTTTTCGAACCTATCTATATTCGATTTTAACGGTCCATAAGAAAAGCGAAACAAGCAACCCATGATAGTAATATATGAAAACTGATTTTTGTTTTATTACTGGTGTTACAAAGTCATATATAAAATAAATAAAAGGTGATTAAAAATATAAGAAAGATTAAAAATTGCAATAGTGAGAGCATATTGATGTTCAAAATTTGAAGATAGGTTAAAAGGTTTGGAAAAAGGTCAATATGGTTTTGTTATATGCATACCAATTTATATCGAAATCAAGTCAAATCTTATATTATCAACTTAAAATCATGATGAAAGTTATTGGTAGCTCACTACTTGAGCCTTATAAGGAGCTCATAAATCCCGTTCTCAATCCATGTGGGATGTGTTGTTACAAATTCTCTCACTTAAACTATTGACGCACTCGTGAGGCCTGCTTAGAATCTTCCTCTTTGTAAATCGAAGATGTAGGATTCGTCTAAAATTTTACAAACACCCCTCAAGGACTCATCATGCTCGATGAGGTCTATCTCACCATCCCGATGGGTACAAAGATCAGCTCTTATACCTTTTATAACGCCCCAAAGCCCGAAGCAACATACTGACCATATTACTTTGAATTCAACATAAAACCATGGTGAAAATTATTGGTAGCCTACTACTTGAGTCTTATAAAAAGCTCATAGATCTCATTTTACTTGAGGATTATAAGGATCTCATGTTCTATACATGTAGGATGTGTTGTTACGATATAGCAAATCTATAGGTAGGCATTTAGCCTATCCCCAGACAATAATGCTCTATTAATTTGATGATATATGTCGGCCCATTTATCACATCAAAACAAATTTGCAAAAACACATATTAGACAAATAACATACTTTTTTTGACTAGACCAGTATTAGATCAAGCCAAATAACTGGTTGGAATTTTACCATTACCTTGTCACATCTGGAAGTTCCTATTTGGTATCAAATCAAACCAAGTTCCTATTTCGAATTGCATCGACTTTGTCGAGATTTTTTCGATGTCATCCGTACAACTTTAAATGGTCCATAAGACAAAGGAAGCAAGTAACTCTATCTCAAAGATGGTACATATGAAAATTGATTTTTGCTTTGGTTATTATGCTACAAAGTCATAAAATAAAATAAATAAAAGGTAGTTAAAAAAATAAGAAATATTATAATTGAATTATGGAGAGTATGTTGGTGTTGAAAATTTAAGGGTAGATTGTTTTTTTATTAACCTGGATATCCAACCCGTTATGCGAGTCGACTAATCCCAGGGCGACCACCTGCTTTGCAGATAGCCCGGAGTCATTGCATTTGAACCTCCGTGGCCACAAGGGGATTTTTATTCCTCCTTGGATTTGAACCTGGGATCTCTTGGTACTTTTGACCTTTGGAGCCAAGCTCTAACCAATCAGACACCACCCTTGTGGTTGGGTAGATTAAAAGGTAGGTAAAGGGAAAATATGTGTTGTTATATGTGAATTCATTTAATTTGAATCTCATTATCTAACTTCTCTCAAATTCCACCACAATATCTAAGGTCCCAGAGCTCGACCCTATATGAGTTCATCTACTTACATATCATAGAGACACACTTACAATCCAATTGTCCTGCGGAAGGACCCTACACGGTTAATCGATTGATAACTGAGGATTTGGAGAACAATAAGAAGCAAATAAGATGTTGGTTTACCTCTTACTAGATAAGAGGACATTAACACACAAGTGCCTCTGAAAATTGGAAAAACCAAAATAGTCTAAATGGCCTAACCTTTTAACGAATCAAACATAAAAGGTTTATAAGAGATTTCCATCAATAATGCCTCTGAAAATTGGAAAAACCAAAATAGTCTAAATGGCCTAACCTTTTAACGAATCAGACATAAAAGGTTTATAAGAGATTTCCATCAATAAAAAAATATAAAATATGACCATTTCTCTCATTCAAATTGGTCTCCTGACCATTTCTCTTCCAGATTGACCCAAATGTTACTACATCCACAATATCATGTCCGCAATATTATAGACCTAGCTAAAAGACAAAGAAAAATGTCAAATTCAACCAGTTTACCGTTGCAATTACATACTTAACCGTCACAATTGCATATTTGTGTTAAATTTTTGGTCTTAGCTAGGTCTGCAGAAGTATCAACAGTTGGATCAACTCAATAGAAAATGATTAGGAGACCAATTTAAACGAGGGAAATAGTAATTATAACTCAAATAATATAGTTACCATGTTGGTCTGCAAGTCCTGAAAGGTGAATCCCATAATCATCGGACCTACTGAGTCTTGAAACATGGGCCAAAGAACCATTGGTTTATAAATTAAAATTGAAATAGAAATAGAAAAGAAGTAAATGAAATGGACAAGTGATAGACCAACAATTTTAGCTTCATTTATTATTACAAACATAAGAACAAAAAAGGGACAATCCTCACATCACATAGATCTCCCCCACCCACTGCTACATCTATTAAGCTGCTGAACCACTGCACTAGAAAGTGACTTCTTCCCAGCAATTTTGATACACTAAGATTCAACACCCCCACCCCAACCCAATTTACTAAAATACCCCTATGTCATATCGTAAAACAACCCGGTCATTGTCCCCCCCCCAAGGGCAATCTAGTCATTTCACCGAGACCAATAATACATCGTACCCTATACCTACTGCCTACATATGTCGATACACTGAGATGGGGTAGGCGATCTATATGTTTGTAACAAGCTGCCTTGAGAAAATAGAAATGAGTCCCATATCTTATAATATTAGAAAGCAAAAGCTACTCAGTCGTCCTTGTTTGACTGATTGTCAGATATTATCTTTTGAATCAACTCGCTCGTCTCTGCTTCGGACATTCGATTTACTCCGCTTGACGATTGAGACTGCAAGTAAGACTCAAAGAACTCCTTGTTCTCTTTTTCTAACTCATTCCACACTGCATAATCAAGTTAATTATGTTCAACCAGAGGATTACCGTTACGTTCAGTGCTAGATGGATTCCAAACTAAAGAAAAAATATTTCTAGTTTGCATGGTCCAAAAATTTCTACAGGTAGGTCAATGGAGTTTAATAATCCACGATTCTGTTATTTATTGCAAGGTGGAAGTATACAAGTAGAATTTTCAATGCAACATGGGATTCAAACTCACAACCTTCACGTGAGTGGGGTTGAACCCAGTATGTTCCACTCGAAGGTAGGGTCCAGGATGGGTAGGACGTAGGCTAACCAACCATCAGTGACTTTATGCAACCTCTCACTTTCAGAAAGGAACATATCAGTGTTACTAATGTGACAGTTACTACTGTGATCATGTAACGCCTGCCCTTGGGATGTCAAGGTTGCAGGAAGTCCATGGCACCACCAACCCCCCCCCCCCCCAATACAACAGTATGCATGATGCTATTCATGTACCAAAGTAGAGCTACTTGGATCAATTGCTCTTTTTATAGAAGAAAATCATGTGCTTATGGTTTAAACGAGTTTCCACTTCAAAAAATGAGATCTCTCGAGCCTTTGATGATCTTGCCATGTGGATATTGACTTGCATGCTCTCATTTAAGTGATGTGCATATGGTTGAAGGTAGGAAACTAACCGGTTGAGGTAATGACTGGCTTGATGTTTGCATGTTTAGAAAGGGCTTCCATGCACTCTTCTTTGCTCATGTGGAAGATCAGACACTTCTCTATCAGATGTTGTACCTAGATTAAGTTAAACAACATGTTATATGATCATATATATATATCTATTTATAATACCATGAATCAAAATTTGGAAACAAAAACTTGATATTTATATTGGTTCTTGTTACTATACCATGTGTATGTATGAAGCTGAAGAGTCACCCATGATCTTATCACAAAGATCTTCAATGTTTTAGTAATAAAAAAATGGGCAAGTATAAAGATCAATTGGTGTAGTATAGAGCGATCATGAAGCGAGGAAAATGAATTACAAGTTACTATATAGAGATGAAAATGGAGGAGAGATGGTGGGGTGGGCCACTGAGTCCATGTGGGAGATAGATGATAACTGGTGGAGAAGAGGCTAGAGGAGATTTGGGAATGAAAATTTCTGTCTTGTAGGAATCCCATTAGGCAACCACCCTCCACGTGACCACTGGCCCAACATTCTCTAAACTTGAAACCAATTCACCAGTACTCCTACTTGGAGGAACGCCATAAAAAGCCAACGGATTTATCATCTTCAACCTTGAGCAAATAAGGATGTGACATATGGCATTCTTGATGGGTATGCTACTAGTTACTGTTGCTGTAGGGGCATTTAGAATTGTCCATGCGGCGATTTGGTGCTCTATGATTGGTTGACAGGCAAAAGATCTCAACTTCCTTTAGTTCCTTATACTCAAAACTTCGCCAGTTCTTGCAAAAGTTTTCAATCATCTGACTCAGCCTCTCATTTATTATCTTAATTAATCTAGGGAGATATTATCAGATTCAGTGTTTCTTGGGGGTTTCTGTTTTTCTTCCTAGACTGCTATAATCAAGTGATTGGTTTGTCTTCTTCCTTTTGCTGATCCCTGTTGAGAAAAAGTAGACATAAGTTTCAAGTGGCACAAACTGTTGAAGCAAGATGAATGCACCAAAACATGTACAACTCCAATTCACCCCTCTTGATATCTTCTTCAAAAGCAACGAGGCAAAAAAAAAACCTCTCTATGGAAAATTGCAAACAAGAAAGAGTAGAAGCAGCACGGAAAATTCCCCATCTTTAAGGTTACAATGGCACTCCTAACCAAGCTGTTCACCTCTAGGATTTGATGCAGTCCTGAAGATGGTTTATGTAGGCAGCAAGCACACAAACTGTAGAACAGGAAGTTGCAGAATGACTTGAAAGAAGAGAGTATGGTCTATGTACTTGTCTGTATGTTTTTGTGAACCAGAAAAGGATGCTACTTCAAGAATCACGATTTAGCAGCCATTTTCTCTGCCACTTGAGACATAACAAAGCACATAATCGTGTTGGTAACACCAATCCAACCTCAACCTCAACCTCATAATTACAAAAAATCACGAAATGGGCCATTTTAATTTGAACTAACGGTGTACAAAAGAAAAAACTCTTGGAGAGGGCTCCTTAGCTCTGATGCAAGGAGCGAAGTGCAAAAGGCATGCTAATGCGCCTTAATGCCTCTGTCACGGCATGTGCACATGCATTACAACCCCAGCCCGCCATACTATAGACACTACAAAAAATTCAGGACAAGTCTTAACTATATCCCCAGGCCGAGAAACTGCCCTAGAACACTTGGAAAAGTTAATAATTGTGTCCCTCAAGTTGAAGGTGTACCTCCTGGAAAACCAAAGAATACTACAGTGATTTATCCACCGTTCTTGTACGAGTACAAATGGTCATCACTTTAAGGATGCATAGCATCAGTGGTGGATCCAGGAAATTAATGGGGTCGGGGCACGTTGGATGGGACTTGGGGGAGGCAAGCATATGGCTGGCCATATGGGACTGGAGGGAAACCATGTAAGACGAGGGTAAAAATAGAAAATTTAAGCTAGTCACAAACATTTTTGGTCTTTGACTGGGGGCTAGATCTGCCCCTGCATGGCATGTATATAATCCTCGTGACGACAATAAAACATGACCATGAAAAATGACCTCTACTTTTAGCTTCATTGCCACGTCAAGAAGACCAACGGCTCTAAATGCACAACAAAACTCGACTCATTTTCTTAACTGAGTGACAATATAGTGATTATTGCCTTTTATTGCTATGCCTGGTGGTGACATATTGGCTTTTCTAATTTCTTACCTAGCTGAGTGTGAATGATAAGAAAGCAACGGGCGACTTGAAGAACACGATCCAGGAGCTTAATGACTGGCTCAGCTCTGTGACCTATTTCTTCCAGTCAGCTTTTTTAGGATGCATATCTCAAGTTGAGAAGTCAATGTTCATGCATCAACAACCTTACGAGGAGATTCAGCTCAATCACCATCATAAATTCATAGATCAAGAAACTCACTTGACTGTGAGCCATCAAAAGAGGGGATCATTTCAGCACCTCAATCACCATCATAAATTTTATATGTTTCTCGACTATAAACTAAGCATATAAAGAAATCAACCTAAAATTTGGATAGATTTTCTAGATTCACTTTGCGCCCTGGCCTAAAGTTGAAGTAGCTAGAACTATTCTGCAACCTGCACAGGTGAAACACATGTTCAATAATGTAGATGAAACATATAGCAGTGAAATGATGTATCTGTAGGAATTAGAAATTGTCCAATGAAAGAGTTGGCTGCGGGCCCAGCTACAGAAATTGACAAACTACAAACTTCATACAAGAAAAGAGCATAAAGACATGACTTAGATACCAATGGAAATATGAGCAAGTATCGGGACCACTAGCAATGCCACACTTACCAATGTACAGTCAAGCGAGAGGTGAAAACACGATGACCTTATCTTAACAAAGTATTAACCTACAACCACAAAATCCTCGCACATACCACAATTTGGTTCGACAGTGATGCATATTGGCTAAGCCTTATCTAACCCCCATTTGTGAAGAGTTTTGGCTTCTACTAGCCTTCCACATCAGGCATAGAGCTTTTGGTAGTATTTGAATTCATGTGACTATCTTCTCAATCCCCTAATAACATCTATGAGACTCACCTTTAATTTGGTATGATTATCACAAAAATCCAAATCATATGAAAGCAATTAGCAAGCACTTAAGTTTGCAACATCGGGCATCCGATTTCACAATTTCCCTGTCTACCTTTATTATCATTGGCAAGTCAATTATGTGTATTTCCTTAAGAACATACATACAATCAGCCAAGAAGAGGGTTACATCAAATACACAATTTGAAACACATTACTACAAATACTAATATGTCATTTCCGATACAACACGCTATGATCGCAAAATCAAATACATAGGCCTCAAGATTATGTTTGTATATGCAATTTTCCTTGATTCTCATTTCGCAAGCCGCATTCTCAAATCAAGTAAAACCATATCTACACGAGACCCACAAATATAAACGTAATATAACTACAAAGAATAGGACAAAACATCACATCTTAAAAGGGTTACAATGATATCTCAACCAAACATTTAGAATAACAAAAACATCATCAAATTCCAATGGGTTTACATCTAATTAGCAGTAAAACAAAGAATACTCCCAGCAGCCTTAGCCTAGAGAGTAACGAAGTGGGCATGTTCGAAGAACAAAACAACAGTTGCAGTGATCTATATTATACAAAACATCATAGGTTTATAACACGATGATTGACTTGCTTCAAATGAGAAATGTTAAACATCACAAGCTTCTTAAATGATGCAACAAACATCGGGAACACCTTCAGAAGCTTGAAGAATGTGACTAGTTTTCACTTGAAGTAAGCGTTTGAGCCTACCCTAAAAGCCTCGTGATTAAAAAAATACAAAGGTTAAGAGCTTTATGAACCGAAATCAATCTGTTTCGTAACATCTAACGGAAAATACGTACGAATCTTTCCGAAAACCAACGCAAAGCATGATTTAAACACAAAATAGTAAGTATTGCAACAATTTTAGATACAATTCGACATACCAAACGGAAAGAAATTGATCAAACTCACTTTTGTTTTTGCTTTATACGTTCCCAATGAAATTCACCGATCATATTTACCATCTTAAGGAAACACGAGCCGGAAACCCTATTATTCATAAACCAGATGAACAAATTGCAATCAAAAGACGGTTTAAACATAATCACAAATTCCGTAAACCCTTTTTGCCAAAATTCATGGTTCTCTCGATGTGGCTCGACACCTAAATCGCTTACGAAATGGCATTAAAATCAACTAATACAAGATCAAAACCGATTTTAAACCTAGAATCAGAATTTAATCGAAGTTCTTGTAAACAGGAATGAATTAGAGCAAAAGAATTGAGAACTGTGATTGGGGGTGGGATCGGGAGGCCCGCACAAGTGAGTTCTGCAAAAGTAAGCAGCGTCAACACTTGGCCAGCCTATAACCCCTCCATAAATTCATGCGCTCATTTTGGTTATGAGTAGCGCGGCGACCGGCTCTCACCGCTCGCTTTGTTTTCCTTACTCATTAGTTTAAGGCAATTTTTCTCCGTCCCCGTAGGCCTTCTTTTATAGACCTCTGCACTCTTCTTTTTCCCCACTTGGACGATGTGGGATCATATCCGTAATTTCTGCTACTTTTGCTTAACCAAAGTGTATTTTATGGTGCGGTACCGTTTGACTCATTCAAAACTTGTAATACAGTGTAAAAGAATTACAAGTCGTTTGACTAAAACATACATTAGTTAACGTTATTGTTAGCATGTAACAATGACGGATCTAGGATTTTTGTTTAGTGGGATACTTTTAAGGTAGACTAAAGACATGTAAAGTCGTCAGATGTGTTTTTAATCTAATTACAACCTTTCGAGTGATTTTTAAAGTTTTTTTGTTGATTTCAAGAGGTTTTTTTTAGTGTTTTTGTCGATTTCGAATAACTTTTTTGGTTTTTCTGATTGATTTCAATAGATTTTTTTGGTTAGAGTAACGGTTTCGATTGGGGTTGAGGGCCGTGGAAAAATGTAATGGGGGAAATGAAAGATAAATCATGTAAAACCTAAATTTTAACCTAGGAAAAAAATTGAGTTTCCCCCTCTTCCTACTGTGTCTGTTCCTGCATGTAATGTTGAAAAAACCGGTTTTAAACTTAAATTTAATGTTTCTTTTTAATTTCATCTAATATCATGACAAACATAACTGAAAAGACACAACTATGAAACGATAAAATATTCATTATGTCGTTAGAAGGACAAGTAAAAAAAATTATTCGTAGTTTATAATATTTGATAATAATGTCATTTTAATTGATCTAACGGGATTTTTTTTAAATGTATTTTGTTATAAAAAAGATAGTTATTTTTATTTTGAATGTTTAATAGATTAGATTAATTAATATGGTTGATGGGTGAGCAAGGATGAACAGGCTGTTTTCGTGAGACTTATGAGACTATTTTTTTACACTTGAAATTTCACAATAGAACAATGTGAAAGTAAAAAAAAAAATCAAACATTCACAGTAAAAACATTATGAAGGTTGTCTTCACAATGTTTTACTGTAAAGTTTTAAGTGTAAAAAAGTGGTCTCATAGGTCTTACGAAAACAAACTAATCTCACGTGATCCCGAGTCTAGTGAGCAAAATAAGAATTATCTTGATCAAAAACTTGCTAAAACCAATCCAATCCAATGGTAGGATCATGTTGCAAAAAAATGTATAGGAATAATAAAAAAATTGAATAAACTTAAGAGAATTATAGAAAGGTCATCTTTAATGATTTTATGGAAACGGAGTTATTGATAGTAGACGAATGACAAGGATAAATTTGTTTCCGTAACAAATATGAATTTTCGTAATGGACTAGATTGATGTATATAAATTAGGATATTGCAGTATTAAATAGGATATGACTGTGTTCATGACTATGATTGAGGCACCAACCCACTAAGAATCATCTGTTAGCTCGTCAGACATACAATTTACCTCCTCCATGATAACCGTAAAATCCATACAATGGGGGTGCTTTAAAGGGTGACGTCACACCCTTTTGGAGAAAGACTGATAGATCGAGATGTAATAAACGTTCATGTTATTTTATTGTAAATTTGTATTTAGTGTTGATAATTTTAACGAATCGTCTGGTTGTTTTATGTGATTGAATTTACAAAAGAATTAAAGGGTTGATAGTGTTTTGGGAGGATTAGAGTATACACTTGTTAAAGTGTATGTAACAGCAGGTGCTAAAAGACGAAAAAATGAAATCAACATCTTAGAACGTAAATGTGTGTAATCATACGCAAGTAGATTGTGTAAACAACAGACAACATGTGTGTAAGTTTTTATATGCTAACGACACATGTCACACAATAATACTACAAATGTGTATGTAAATCTATAAGGTTGCACACATGGACGGATCCAATGTAGAGCATATGGTGGCTCATGCGAGAGTATTGTTTATCCATTGTAATGTAAAAAAATTTAGGGTCATGAAAAGTGTCACCGTATTAATTTGTTATGTGACACCCATATGTATTTTGAAACTAAAGTGAGAACATAAATTTTCCTTGGTATAATTAGTTTGCAAGACTTTTCTTCCATCCCAGACACGAGTTCTAATCTTGTTAGTGTCATTTTCTTAGTTTTTAGCTTTTAATTTTAGATTTATTACGTTTTTTGAAGAATAAAATTGTAATAAAAAAAACTTGAATGCATGACCTCGCATATGAAAAGCAATGAACTAACCAACAAAACAATGATGATTTTGTGAAAAATATCTCTATGTTTGTTTCTTGTAATCAAAGGTGCCACCATTTAACCACAAAGGTGGTGCCTCATTGGTTTGAGCTTGGCTCAAAAGGTCAAAAGTATCAGGAGGTCTCAGGTTCAAATCCAAGGAGGAATAAAAATCCCCTTCTGGCCACGGAGGTTCAAATGCAGTGACTCCGGACTATTTGCAAAGCAAGTGGTTGTCCTGGGATTAGTCGGTTCGCATAGCGGGTTGGATATYCAGGTTAATCAAAAAAAAAAGGTGCCACCATTTCAAAAAAGATTATAGGTCCGTCCCTGGTCGTACACAAAAAATACATATGCTTCCATATGGTTATGGATAACAAGAAACGCTAGTTATGTCATGTTGATTGTTAAAAATAATTATTCTAACAGAATAACTAAAGTATGTGTTAAAAGTGTAATTATAATAATTACAAGGTTTTATATGTATATTTTACGTATTAATTTTATTATGATTAATAAAATTTTATTTAGGCTTAAGGATAATCAAAATCCCGACCCATGTTTGGGAAATACGGTTTATCTTAAAGGACCACCTATAGAGAAAACTTGATAGTGTTTATCTTAGAGATTACCATAGAGGAAACTTATGGGCTGTTTGGATCATGGGAATTGAAAGGAATTGAAAGGAATTGGAATGTCCAATCATTTGACCAAATTCCAAATAGAGTGTTTGGTTCATGGAATAAGACTATGGAATCCTTTCAATTCCAATCGATTCCTTCACACATAGATTTTACAATTCCATGGCAATATGTTAGGATTTTAATTTCTTTCCTACAGATTCCTTCCCTAATCCAATTCCATGCAACCAAACGCAATCACAAGGCATGGTTAAATTCCATCAGATTTCATTCCATTCCCTCAAAGTCAAATTCATTTGATGAATTCTAATTCCATCGAATTCCATTCTACGAACCAAACGCCCCCTAAGTATTTTTAAATTTAGAGATTACCAGAATAACAGAAAAGAAACATTTTCTTTCTTTTATGTCATATACAGCGATAGAAGCCAACCGTGTTTGTGTCTGGATCTACATCGAGGAAACTTGATTTGGTTGTTAAATGTTCCGTCAAAACCTGCTACAAATTTGATAAGGTAACTTTCGAAAACATCATAAGATTTGTTTTAGATTCGTTTTAAAAGCCATTGGATCCGGCTAAAGTTTTTTTTTCCGACTCTTGATCACTTTTAATCCTAAAACAACTCATGAATTGCTCATTATAAGGGAATTGATCTAGTGGAACTCTTCAATTAGGATTGATACACCGAAATGCACCAGATCAGTCTCCGTATCAACCGGACTGGTGGATTTGAGATTAAAGGTGATCAAGGGTTCAGATCTCTTCTTACGTTTCTCACCTTAATTCTCTTTCTCACATGATCATTCGCCTATATATAATTATATATGAAATACAAACTTGTAGCGAGGTATATCTCGATTTTAATATTTCGTTTTTTTTTTTTTTTGTCTCAATCAATGTTATAATATGATTTTATGTGGTTTTGAGAAACGATAATGTTTTTATTTTTGAATAAAATATAAATATGAAGATATCATAAAAAAATGAAAAAAAAATATTGATATTAGTACCAAACTAACTATTTAAAATTTCTCATTTTTGTGTTTCCTTCATTCATTTTTTTTATTTTTTGTTTAATAATATAATTTTTGTAAAGATAACGATCAAGTATTTTGTTAGAAGTCAATGATTATCCTAACTATATTTTACATTTTTTATATTTAAAATCCTCTATTTGATTATGATTATCTGCAGTTAGTTACACGAGTTCAAACATGAAACTTTAATAAGTTATACTTACACACAATTTACTTATAATCTTAAATATATACTATATTATAAAGCATTTGACAAAAACTCTTAAAAACTATTTTTTATGCGTAAACTATTGTTTATTAATGCATATTACTTAAAACTCAAGATTGCAAGTAAATTGTGCGTAAGTACAACTTATTAAAGCTCCATATCTGAATTCGTGTAACTAACTGCAAATAAACATATCATTTTAAATATAAAAAATCTAAAATATAATTAGTATAATCATTGAATTTTAACAGAATAATTAATTATTATCTATTAAAATGTTTATATTATGAAACCAAAAATAAATTATTTCGTTATTAAACTTAAATTAATTATAATAAAAAAATAAATTAAAAAAATTACATAAAAATGAGAACTTTTAAATAGTTGATTTAATATTAACATTGATATATTTTTTTCAAATTTTTATGATATCTTCAAATTTATATTTTATTCAAAAATAAAATCATTAATGCTTTCTTAAAAACACATAAAATCGTATTATAACATCGACAAAGATAAATAATAAAATATAGCATTAAAACCAAGATGTGTCTCGTTGCATTGCACGAGTACTCTTCTAGTTTTAAGTAATATACATCAATAAACAGTACTTCATGCATAAAAAATGATTTTCAAGAGTTTTTGTCAAATGTTTTATAATATAATATAGATATATGAAATACAAACTTGTCATCTTCAAAAACACCATGGGCTCGTGAAGAATTGACATTGCTACCAAGTCAGGCTCACAACATTTAGAACACAACAAACCAGATAGAAAATATGCAAGTCGTTTGGTACCCAAATGTTGTACACAAAGATGCACACTTTTGTCATTCAAACCCATACCAATGAGCTTTGCTACATTTTCATAGACCATACAAAAAATTATAGTTTGCGAAATATACACACCAATGATCATCACCCTCAAAATGTTCACAGCCAGGCAACACGACACCAGGCGAAGCCAGGAATTATGCACAACACAAACAGCTTACAGAAACTAAGAATCCTAGAAAGAATCATGGTCACAAGAATATATTATATGATTCGGAGTTTAATGCAAATGAATAGTAATATATGATGTGAAATCATTTGTGAGATTTTCGTGATAACAATGGTTCCAGTTGAGGGTCGGAATCTTTAGATATTACGGTATCTCTTTCACCCGATTCCATTTCAGATGTCGATAAATCCTCCTTCCTTCTCATGCCTAATCTTTCTAAGAATCTCGAAGTTTTGTCCAGAGATGATTCGGGAACTTTTGGTGCAGTCGGGACATGCTGAAGGCATACTTGAACCGCGTCATGCACTCTCACAAAACACCATTCTTTACCCACTTGATCGATGAATCCAGATTTTGTTAGCGTCAAGAGTACATCTTTGTTCGGGTTGGCAATAGCTATCTGCATCATAATTAAATCATAAAATTGCTTAATGTCTTCATATGATAAAAAGTAAACTTCACCCATCCATCCCATGAAAATTGTAGTATTTGATTTATGATCATAAATGGATGTATATCTGAAAATTCATGTCCATCCAAACCCATATCTTGTTTATGTAATTTGATTGAAAAATAAGAACATACAACATCCAAATTCGATTTTCATTTGAGAAATTGATCAAAATAGCCAATCTTTTCCGACCAACTTCACTTTTTAGCCGCTTAGAACCTCTTCTCAAAATAGCCAAAGTTTACACAGAAATTTGAATCCTTAAGCAGAAAATTGAAAAAACAAAATCTGCATAAAGATTCAAATTTCTGTGTAAACTTTGGCTATTTTGAGAAGAGGTTCTAAGCGGCTAAAAAGTTAATTTGGATGATGGGATTGACTATTTTGGTCCATTTCACTTTTCATTTGCATCCAATAAAAACATACATGTACAAGATATGGACATGATACGATTTGACCCGTATACACTCCTAGTTTGACTAGGCATATAGTTCTTGGAAAGTGTTTGACTACTTGTCAAATGTTCAGAATATATTTAGAATTTTAGATGGTGTCATAGAATAAGGTAATCTAAGAATATTAAGTTTTTTGGTACTGATAACTGATAAGTATAGGCAGGTAGGTAATTATTATGACTTTTGGAAAAATGGAAAAGGTTGAGATGTGCTAAATGTTGCATATTACAAAGGAGTGAGTAGAAGTTCTTAGCAAGAAATATTGTGTACCTTGATGTCTCTTGAGTTGTATTCTTGAAACAAATCTTTTAGTGCTTCAACTGCACTGGAGTCCACATAAGTAACAGCTGAAAAAGACATGAAATTAGATGAATACAAAAGCTACAGCATAGGAATGTGCAATTAGTCAGACCGACCCATGGCTGAAGATGGAAGAAAACAATTACATGTAAAACATCGGAAAAATATCATAAGTTGCAGACGGATGTTTATTCACTTTACGCTAGTGCAGAATATCCGTATAGGATAAAGACAGATAAGAAAAGAAAGATACGTCAAATTACATAGATTTTGTTATATTTGATGATGTTTCCATTTCGTTTACATATTCGAACAAAAAGATTTTATCAATTATATCCTTATATATTCAGAATCATATCAATTACATCACCATTGTCCAATTTTAATCAAATTAAAAACGAGCATACATGACCAAGGGACAAAACAATGGCAGGAAGAACAATTTAATTAACAAGGAGAATTTAACTGTGCAAACATTATTGATAACTTCTTTTAGTAAATTCAATTAAAATTGAGCAAAAGTGATGTAATTGATATGATTGTGAAATTAGTACAATGATATTTTTGTCTATTTTGCTAACAAACTTTCCGGTTGCATCTAAGTAGTTGAAAGATTTGCTGCATTTAGTTTGGGACGAAGGGAGTAACAATATATGTTCTTGTATGCAATAAAAACAAATTAATAACTGATATAAACGTACGTGCCATCTCCAAGATTACAAAATATATTCTTTCAACTTCTGGTCCCCGTTTGCAAGATTGATCAACCACGAGTTCAAACTCCCGCAGCCTGAAAATATATATAAAAAAAAGTTCAGAAGTTATTTAGCAAAAGCTAGCATCTGATTAAGTCACTTTATTTTACCTGTCTTTTATATAGCTTGTATTGGCAAAGTAGATAGGTGCATCAATTCGAACAATTACAATGCCATTGTATGTATATGCTTCTGGGTATTGTTGGATGTTCCTATAAACGGTGGTGCCAGGAAGTCGCCCCAACACAGCTGCAATCACATATGCATGTTATACAAATAAATAAGGTAACGCACCAAACATAAGCTCCAATAACCCTGTATACAAAAAATTGACAACTGATTTGTTGTGTTAGAAGAAATTAACAGTTTAGGCTCTAAAGGTCAAATTTCAGGCTGTAAGCAAGTAGGTGATGTTTGTAATTTGAATCTCCAAATACGTTTTCTATCTCGACCATCATTTATCTCCAAAACTCCGCCCTCTTAAGAAGTACAAATGACGTTTGGAGGAATGTTTCCGGAAATGAGAAAATCAGTGTGCTGGCACACTTTTAGAGGACCATAGTGTGTGTGTGTATATATATATATAGGCAAAAGCAGTTAATTACTATAGTGTATATATAGGCAAAAGCAGTTGATTACAATAGTACTATTAAAATGGTTTTCTGTATGTGTATGCCAAGTCTGGATTCTGGAAATAACTGAAACGTTTAAGATGGACAAAGGGTTTTAGGAATATGATTAAGTAAAAAAGGTGACGCTGAGATAAAGTTGATGCTGTTGTCAAGATTGAAAGATTCACAAACCATCAAAGGACAAACTGCAGCAAGGGGGCATGCTGTCTACATATGCTTGTTCCTTTATATATATATATATATATATATATATATATATATATATTCCAGAAAGAATGGGACTAGAAAGAAAACAACCAAAAGAATCAAATGAAAAGAAACCCATAGCCAAACAAACAAGAAACACCCGGATGCCAACAAGGAGTCCCGAACCCACAACCTTGGGGTTCAAGAGATATGAATGGTACCAGATGAGACTTAAAGACACTGGCTGTTCCTTCATATATTGTTGAAAGCCAAATTACAAATAAATATAAAAAGCTTACCAATATGTGGATTTGCTGATTCATGGATCACGAAAGCAAGAGAAAGACCAACCTACATATATATCAAAACACCAACAGTCGATTAGATTAGTGATTTTCAAGACCTAATTCCTTGCAGAATGTTCTTCACACACACCAATAGTGTGTTATAATTTGTCTGGACAAGTTAAAAACATCAGAAAATCAGCACAGTACCAATAGTTCTACCCAAGCAACAGACAAGGTATGCTACTATCATATAAAACTTGAAAGCCTGATAAGGAATCCGGATACTGTATATATGCTCACCCCAACAAGGACACCAATCTCGATCCCAAGGAACAACGTTGTTGTACTAGTAACTGCCCAAAGAAAAAAATCTTTTTTATCTACCCGCCATAAAAATATAGCCTCATCATAATCCACCTTTAACAAACAAGCAATCAAGAATTAGGATCAGAGTAAGGAAACAAGAATAAATTATTCGCAGTAGCTGTTCAAATCAAAGAGGGTACAAGAAAGTTATAGAAGAATCAGATTATGACCATAAATGAGTTTTAGGGTATGTAATACAGTTACTCTTTAATTGATTCTGGAAAGTCAAGCAACTGTTTATGCTTGATAGTCTAGGTTAAGACAACGTCATTGTCATACAGTAAAAGGGAACAATGTGGGTATATGATACCGTACAACTAAACGTGAAAAGTGGCATCACATTACTAAAAGAAACTAGGAGAAGATACAATGGGTAGGCATTGTGTAAATAACAATTCAACGGACTCTAGTTGAACAAACAAAAGGTTATAATCCTCTTACTTTTTGGAATTGGTAAAGTTTCCAGATTATAAGTTATTACTTACAGCTCATCGGATTCAAATACTACAGTAGAAGTACTATAAACATCCCCAAGAAATAAGAGATTTATTAATTCATAAACCAAAATCATAGAAGCAATTGTCAAAAGTCAAAACTAGAAACCTTTTTAAAAAAGAAGTCCTGTTACAAGAGAAGCCATAGAACAGTACATCTTCTCACATACGTTGCAAGTACATAAAAAACAAAATGGAGAAAAAGGCTTGAAAGCATGTCCAGAAGATTACATGGAGTATGGATAAGGTATATGCACTGAATATCGATAATTAATAATTAGATAGTGTTGCCCTTTTCGTAGATAGCACACCTAGAAAGGCTTCACAGACCCCTATAATTTATGGTTGGCTACACTATCTCATCGAAGTTGGTTCCGGGGGAGGCCAGGTCAAATGTCCATAGTCATTTTTCCTCTAGAGATTACGAAAAACAAATGTAGACCACATATCTAATTTGTGCCATTAATTAGATTGATATCTTAAATGTGTCTAGTTGCATGTTCACTTCACCTGTACCATTAGAACCTTCCTTGTTTCGTTGTTTTATCATCTATACCATCCATTTTATACATTAGACTAGAAATCAATAATCACAAACCAAAATATTGATACCTACCATGAGCTATCCAGCTAAATAACCAAGCTAAGGTAAAGAGAAAACCAGGATTGACAAATCAAGCATCCATATTTACTAAACTAATCAATCAGAAGTAAAAATCCCCATGCTAATTCATTGTAACTCAACATCAAGAGAGCATAGTTGAAGAAAGGCAAAAAAGTTGGAATCTGACAAGTCCAGATCAAAAATTGTAGGCTGTCAATCTGCTAAGATGTAAAGATGAAGGATGGAAGCTACCATAGAAGTCCAGATGCGGTAGTAGGAGGTGATGCCAATCACTGGGACCATGAGACCAGATGCACACCAGACTCATTGAACTGGTACTCGGCCATGACTAGGGTGTCTTGATGGAGTACCAAAGGCGATATGCCATAGAAATCTGAGACACAAGGACACAACAAGCTGCTTTTTGCAGCTAAACGTGGTGGGAACCACGGTTTGTTGGTTCAAAGAGACATGGATCAGTTACCATGGAAATAGAAGGGACCAAAAAAGTTACATCTACTACTAACTACAACTAATATAGAGGATTCGTATGGTTAAACCTATGGGCCCAGATGTAAAGAAGATATCTACAATCCTAGATGTCTAGCAGTAATCATCCTGTCAAATTAGACTTCCTTAGACGGATATCGAACTACTTCTTGGATTATGAGGATTAGAAGGAAAACGGTTACCAAAATGTATGGTAGAGCTATGTTGAAATGCATAAAGCAACTTTCAATGTCAATATCTCATGGTTCACTCTTTTCTGTTCTAAAGCCTCCCACTCGTTCTTACCATTCAAGAAGGACAAACATTAACTGCAGCTGATAAAGTGGGTTCAAGAATATGCCAATGCTTTCATAACAAGATCATTTAGCATTTATATTAGAGACTGAACAGTAAGAAAGTAATCAGACCCATTAGAGGATATACTTACCAGCCCAATTACAGCAGAGATTACAATAGCAGCAAGAGCACACTGCAAAAGTGAACAAAAGAACACAAAAGGCTTAGTCCATATGGAAATATGTGCCAACAGAAAGATAACAAGGCTTTCCGATTTCTAGTTTCATAAATTGCTAACACAACATCAATAGGATCATTCTGGAACAGATCTGGTTTCTGAAGTTCAATTAGCAGGATAAGAGATCATTGGAAGAAGGACCATCAAAATAATTTACAGCAATCTATACCCATCACAATTCCTGTGGCATGTATTCAAACAATGGTGTCATAAATGCAGAGAAAATGGGAGCATACCTGAGGTATAAATTCAAATAATGGTGTCATAAACAACAGAGCACAAGCCATAATAATGCCCATGACAATTCCTGATAAACCAGTTTTTGCTCCACTTTCATGATTAACTGCTGACCTTGAGAAGGAACCTATACAACATATTTAGGAGAAACTGTTCCTTCAGAAGTATATCAACAAGTAAAAAATTATAGAGTGTAACAAGTGATCTAATTGTTATCAGATTTGACCACAAAAGGTCTCCTATGCACCAATCTCACCTGTTGACGGATATGCTGAGAAAAAGGACCCACAAATATTGGCCACACCAAGACCAAATAACTGTCAAAAAGCATTGATGTGTTAGCAGCGATTCATAAACAGTTTCATCCTTCGAAAATGAAGTACCACCTAATCAATAACTTACACCAGCTATATATCAATTTTAATCAATGAAACACCACCACTCATCTCAATAAAAGCCAGTATCCCAATTTTTAATCACAAATTCACACTGCACAAGCAAGCATGATAACAAAGTCCACTAGAAGGAAATTATCACGCTACATATGTTTTCTATAGGGCTGGGGTTTCTAATATCTCTTCGGGTGGAAGTAGGGGGCAGGTAGGAAATAAGGAAATACCCCCTATTTGGTATAGAATATAAATATGTTTGCTTCAATATTGAATCTAATGAGATTAATAAGGAAATACCTCCCGTTTGATACCAACAATAATATTCCAACTTGCAAAGAGAAAAGCACGTAAAGAGTGGTTTTGCCAGATTTTATAAGAGGATGAACCCTTGAGTTAAGGGCTTTAACTGAGTAAGGCATTCTTACTCCTCATAAAGGAAACATGTTGATAGTTTACATTGCATGCATATTAATTTTCTCCCTGCGAGAAAAGCTGGATCATATGATCGATTTTTGATGGCCATCAGTCCATCATTTCATCAAATGATCCATGTATAGTTTTAATTTAGAGTATCATAACTAATTTTGGTTATTATGAATTTAACAGACATGCAAAGGTCCCAGCTTTAGACCACTTAACCATGAAAATAGTAAATTGGTCAGAACTCATCTAAAGGTAATATGAGGTATCATAAGCATGATAAGGGAGCAAGTGTAAAAGATATAGAACGCATAAAGATCATTCATAGTCTGTGGGAAAAAAATTCATGAACCAAAATATTGGCATTCATTTGTTAACATGCATACCCCATACGTCAATAGCTTAAAGGGAGACCAATTTCATACTGTAATGGTACAGAAAAGCTTCACAAGAGTCTTGGATGCACAAGCATATAAGAAGCAGTTTAAGCTGTACTTAAGTCCTGTAAATCCCTGTCATATGCTCTCACAAATGCTGCATAAAAGATGTTTTAGAATACAAGTATAGCTCAAGTTTTACAAACCCAGCCTTTTTATCTTGTAGCCATACTGGCCTATCATTACCTTAGAAAACTATTACCTTGAATTGATCTAACATGCTAAGATGTCACTATTTATTGTCCGTGTAAACAATATTATTTCAGCAATCCTTCTTTTCTGTCCCTATGGTTATACATAATTACTGAACAATAATAATACAACCTTGAGCAATGGTGTTTTTCCTCAAAAAACGCACCTCTTGATTTGAGTCAAGTTCATATCCATTCTTTGCTGCCAGGGCTTTAGCAATCCCCACAGATTCCTGTAGTGCAGACGCGAAGTCATTACATGGTTAAAACAATAAAACAGGTAAAGATTATAGCCAATTACAGAAGAATCTTCTATTACCAGTATAGCCACACCAGTAATGAGAAGTGAAGTCGGGATTAAGGACTTCAGATGACTGAACTCTTTAGGGATGGAAAATGGTGGAAGCCCTTGAGGTATATCTCCTACCTGAATTTTTTTATAGAAAAGCTTTTATCATGAGCATGTCACAGTACAGGGCAATCAAATTGATGTCCAGGTAGGAACAGAAAATACAAAAATGTTCATCCCCTTTGGACTTAAGTTTCAGAAATGAAACTTCACTTGGTACTATAAGAACAATAATATAAAAAGGTAAAGAGAGTATACAGTTTTCTTAGAGAAACAACATATTCACGAATTTATATTTAATTTAGCTTCTATGTATCAGCAATTCAACAAGCCCTTGCATTAATTTCACTAATTATTCTAACTTACCCCAAACAGTTACAGCTGGAAATCACATGAAACAACTCCTACAATCCCACTTTGCTCAAGATTGTAGTACATAGTTCATTTGCTTGAGATTTAATAATACTAGACTTGGCAGCAACTCAACATAAAACAACCAAAGAAGATTCAATGATAAAAATGAAAATGCCTATTTTAAAGAAGCAGGGAATCAGAGTTGTGCATAAAGACAAACCACTGGCTGTGATGGCCTCCATGGGAATACACATAGACAATACATCAAAACTGAAGAAGGTCCATTAAGTATCATTAAACTGAAATTATAAAAATGTTACTTTGTTCCAAACAAATAAGTAAATCAAAGGCATGTAAATTAGTGTTGTGATCAGATCTTGGTGAGATACAAATACATATGAAGGCCAAAACATAGAAACCCGTAATAATCTGAACCCCACAAGCAAAAAACAAAAATAAAATAATAATAATAACAAACTAAACTAAACTAAAAATCCAATTTTCAGGTTCTTGGTTAATTATCAACAGTTTAGTGGATATATAATATACATGAACATTCTCATTGATTTCCTTTATAAGTTCAGTTCCAGTACTTCATAAAAAGCTTCTCTCATTATTCTCACCAAAGAAATGGAAGAGGGATGAAATATTTTCACAAAGGCTGTACCCAGAACAACAGCAGTGAGGGGACCGCCTGCTCGCAGATACCGCAATTTCTTCCTTGTTTTCCCCTGTACTTGGAACCATCTAAGTTAGAAAGCGCAGGTACAATGGATAAATGTAACTCAATAGGAAGAAAGTGTGTACCAAATGTTTCATGACCAAAATAATTGCTAGGATAGAGGACCCCATCATGAAAGGAGGCCATGAGAACTACAAGCAATTTTTTTTTGCCAATGGTTAGAAAAAAGTTATACAAATAATGCTAAACAAAGCAGAAACGGAAATACATTACAAGAAATAAGAGCAAGAGACACATGACTCAGAATCAAGGACCTATGAACATAGCAATGTAAAGTAATCTTTTTAACTTTGAGTAACTCGCATGGTAATACATTGTGGCAAGTTCATGCTGTTCAATTAGAACATTTCCTGTTTAAAGAAAACATACTACAGATAAGAGTGTAGAGTTAATCTTAGTTACAACCTGCACCATATTACAAAAAGTGGAATTGTGATGTAAGCATCCCAATGGGGAGGCTAGAAAACATGTTGCTATTTGTGAATGATGTCTTACAAGGATCCATGAAACATAGCCCACAACTCCACATGTAATTTGTTTTTCTTCTTTTCTGAGAAGGCTCCATGTGTTCCAACTTCTACTGATGAGAAAGAGATGTAAACAACAGAATTTCCATAGGACTCTCATGGACTATCATATTTGAGTTCCAGTCATGCACTAGTGCAACTTATATAGGAAATTTGATTCCCCCTCCACCCCCCCCCCCCCCTTTTTGTCTTGTGATTATCCCTAACCCCAATGTGAGTTTTTATATTTTGATTTGTGGCTTTGGGCCTTCCCTGCGCAGTTTAGACGGAAGGCGAAGAAGGCCTCCTAGGCTTTTAGTTTAATGTTTTTATTCAGTGGACGTAGTTATTGGTTCGGGTCGAAGAAGCAATGTCACTCGATCCTTATCAAACTGATTGCATGTCCTATGGGGAAAAAGCTTTATTGCTGCTAAGATTACACTCACTAAAAAGCTCTGGCTCGTGTAATTAACAAATAGAAATGGTAAAAAATGATAGGTAGAGATAATAGAGTGGCCTACCCAATATGCAAGAAAGCAAGGGTAATTTTGCTAGTTCTGTTGAAGAGCTTTAAAGAATGTCAATTATCTTGGAAGTTCAACAGGGAAAGTCTTGCCATTCCACAGGTACAGAGAAAGTAAAAAACTAGCACGGGCACTCTGAAGTTCATGAGGCATACATATTGACTATATGATGGGCCAGTTCATTCTTACTAAAATGTCAAGTAAAACCCAAAACCACTTCCTATGTTTCTGCCTAACAAGATATCAAAARGGCAATACGATATAGCTCCAGGTGAAAAATAGGATACCTTATCTGCTCCTGCAATTATACTCTTGACCAATGGAATTATTTTGCTACTTCTGTCCACACTATATCCCAGGAAATATTTTGCTTGAGATAAGGCAATAACAAAGGCTGAAGCARTTGTAAAGCCAGAAATTACTGAGTGGCTGATAAAACGGATGAGCCATCCAAGCCTATAAYGATTARAAKATACAGAAAAARCACCATCTATTAATAGTAATCACCATCAAGGTGGTAAAAGAAAAGGATTCATATAAATCAAGTTTAACGGGCAAAGAAACACCCAGATGGAGTGAACACCAAACGATTACATCATTCCTCTTCACATTGGTATCAAGAATTAGTAATCTCCACAATTATAAACTTATTCATTAGTTGATACTAATTTTGGAGCGCTAAATGTAAATTTAGGATGTTAAAACTCATCAACTTGGCAAGACTGTGCTTGAGCAAATGAAGATGTATTACATATTGGAAAGCCAACTTAATGAGAAGCATATGGATTTGATCAACAAATAGAAAATGCAGGAGATTGTTTTATAACTAAATAAGTTCAAGAAACAAAAGTACCTCAAGATCCCCATTGTGCATTCTAGAATCCCAACCATGAGTGACAGCAATATCGCAAGTTCTGTATATAATTCAGCAGATGAATCAACATCGCCTAGGACATTAGAGACCAGTAGAGAAACCAATGCTACTGGACCAACAGCAAGCTGGCGGGATGATCCAAATATGGAATACACAAATACAGGAACTAATCCAGTATCTGAAATGAAGGATAAGCAAATCCACAACAGTTAGTGAGACACAAAGAAAGTTGGAAGAAAAAGAACAAACAAATGCTCCATCAATCCAAGCTAAGAGACCTATTCAAAATTCTTAGATTCACAAATGGCCAAAATGTCTATAGAAAGTGAAGGGTGAACATCAGTTGTAGTGGAACATGTAAGTTTCATTTTTGTGAAAATATGTGGAACCCCAAGTTTACTCTCGAAAGAGCCCCTTTAGGAGAAATGGTCCAAGTCTAGCCGAAGTGGAACTCCAACACGCCCCCTCCAAGGAAGGCTAGATGAACATAAATTGTATCAGGGTTCCGAGAGGGGCTAGCCAGAGTGGCAGACTTTGGCTCTGATACCATGTGAAAAATATGTGGAACCCCCAAGTTTACTCTCCAAAAGGGCCTTTGAGGAGAAAAGGGAGGTTCCAACATACATACAGGAGAAATGGTCCAAGTCTAGCCGATGTGGGCTCCAACAATTTTGAACATAGGAACTTCATCCTGAAAGAGTGTCAATCCACTTAAACAAATAGTAACTTGGAAGCAATTCAGGCTTCCCTTTTCAGCCTAACAGCCAATGCATCAACAATGGCTGCTAGGTGGATTGATGAAATATAGCACAGGAAAATTCATAAAGAAAAGGTTCCACTGCCAACTAAGAATATCTCACACACACACTATTCAACTCTCTCCAACAGAATATGTTCAAGTGACGAAAACAAAATTTATGTGAAAATAAATCTTTTGGAACTTGTAGGGGAAAAAGGAATTGTGCAAACACTCCAGATGATAAATACAGGACCATAAATGCTCCATTTAGTGGAATCTGGGATCTTTACATATTGTGTCTTTATCTCCACTTCCTCTAAGTAATATTCATCTTGTGATCACTCAAAATCCTATTCTCCTTACATAAATCTAGCTTATAAAACTATCTATAAGGAGAAAGCCTAGTTATACTGCCTAGTTATACTGTAAGGACCAGATTTTAAACTTACAAAGTCCATATATTGGTTGAAGTCCAGCAAGCTTTGCATATGACATAGACTGCTCATAAGAAACAGAGTAAAGAAAAAAGACGTGGTCAAATATTAATAGCAAATAATCTATTATATAACAAACATCACCAGCCAGCAGTAGGTAATTAATGAAATTCGTTAGAGTTTCTAAAGAGGAGAACGCCTCTTAGGTTTAGGAACAAGATTCTCAGCCTTCCAAACTAAAAATAACGTATTAGAGCTTAAAAGCACTCTTGTTAAATGGTACAAAAGCAGCAAGATTCGACTAGATATAAGAAATTACTATAACAAGCAGAGAGGCTGTAAAGATAGCATGTGATTATTGCCTCTGCCTAATGTTGTAGCATGTATACATGAGTAAAAGTGGTGCACTCCTAGAAAGAAACATGATATGGTGCCAACAGCCATCAAACCATGGTATCTTGCACATATAAAAGATAAATAAGACCTAATATATGAGCTTTCATTAGCAGATACAAGGTATAACTGTGAAGAAGCAACCTATACAGCATCGATCAACATAAGATCCAGCTGTTGCTTAAATAGTTACATAGAAATCACATATATCAGAACCCTTTAATCATGACCGACAATACTTGAGCAACTTTTTTAAAATTGGCATCTTACCTATTACAATGGAGAAAAACTAAAGCTCATAGTCCATCCACTCGAAGAGCTGAATGGGACTAAGACTAGATAACAAAGCTTAAAGTCGATATTCTAAATTTTATAGATCTGAATGTGATAGATTCCGTGTATAGCTTAACCATAGATATGCCATGATTCTTGAGATGAACTGATTGCTTAAACCTGGCATGTTTATTCATAGAAGTATTGTGAATTTTAACATAGTCATCATATTTTCACTAGATTAATGTTGAAAGGCGTCATTGAACAGTATCCGGCCAATCTTACGCAATAACAACCAACGAAATGCATTATGCATCCCAACCAAATAGAAACAAAATGCCAAGTCTATTTTTCTAGTCAAACACGTTATATCAACTATGAAGCAACGTGAAACAGGAATCCGCAACTGCAACAAAAATCAATCATCCAGTTCTACACGTAAATAACTTCAATTTCCGTTTGTACCTGAGGAACGAGCATGATCCCGACTGTGACGCCGGAGATGAGGTCAGGCTGGAGATTTTCATGCCAATTATAAGTACGAATCCACCGGGAACAAGGGAGGAAGAAATCAATCCAATCAACCGTTTTCATCCGCTTCATCTTCGTTCTCCATCTCGAAAACGGCGAGGAGGGAGACGAAGACGAGGTAGGCGTTGCATCGGCGGCGCTGTATGGGTGCTGGAAAGGTATGACTTTGACGGGACGAGTCGTCACCGTCGCCGGAGTCCTGGCCATGGAGGAGAGGTCCGGTAGACTGGAGGAGGCGTATGTTATCTCCATGCGCACCAAGAGGGAGAACGTATTATGAGGAGTGAAGCCGTCTCCTTTTTAAGATGCATCTCACCTCTGCCGAGTGCCGACTGCCGATTACCACATGTTTTTACCATTTAAAGTCAATTTTTGCTTGTAAAGTTGATTAGTCAACGATCTGTAGGTCCGATTAATCATATTGTTCAATTCATTTCTCAACTAACTTCTTAGTTTGGTTAACTAGTAATAGTTCTACTAAATTAATCATCGACTTTTGATTGGTTTGAGTTTAGACTCTAAAGATAAAAGTGTCTGGAGGTCTCCGGTTTAAATTCAAGGAGGAATCAAAATCTTCTTGTGGCCACGGAGATTCAAATACGGTGATTCCGAACTACCTGCAAAGCAAGTGGTCGTCATGAGATTAGTCGGTTAGATATCCAGGTTAATAAAAAAAAAGTAATTCTACTAAATTATAGCTTTTAAATTGTTAAAAATAGGAATTTTGTTTGCTAAAAAGAAATCTATTTGTTAACGTTTTTAAAACCTTTTAAATGGCTGTATAGTGAATATTGTTTAACAAAAAAAGTTTGTCTCTTAATGGTTCTAAAACCCTCTGAATGATTTTGTATCATAGGTCTTTCTTAACCATTGAGCGTTCTAATTTCATTATAAACAATTACCAAACAATAATATTTCATTTTACACTATATCATAAGAGTCTCTTAATCATTTAAACTGTTTAATCATTATGAATCAAACCATTCAACAATTGTCAAACAGCCCCTTAGAGAAGCAAATAGTAATGAATTATAAATTATAAGAAATGAAAACAAAATTTTAAAACCACAAGAATGAAAGTCATATTTATTTATCAAACCATATAAACGAAAAACACAATTTACTCGTATTTAATTTAAATACATAATTAAATCTAATAAATTTGTGAATTACTGTTAAAATCTTCATTAGTATGATTTGAACTTAATAAAAATAATGTAATTGTAAATGTATCTGGACATTTTTTTTATCTCTTGTTCTTGACAAACATTTATGTAACAACCAAAATGTTTTTACAATTTTACATGATCTTTATTTATCTGCATTTTAGATTTAGCGTATTTATTAATATATATTTGTTTCACAATATATTTGTTGTATATATATTTGTTTTACAATGTGAACCTTTTTTATATGTTTGTGAAATAAAAAATACAACTAAAGTGTTTTATATTGTGAAACGAATACATATAAACAAACATGATATAAGACTTTGTTTCACAAAAATACATTATAAAAGTTCTTACAGTTATCACAATATATGAAGTTCTCAAATGATTAAATTTTTTATTATAAATTTAGGTTGTTCATCTGTGATCAATTTTTTTTTCGTTAGATCACAAAATAACACTGAAATTTCACAACAATTCATTAAATTTGATTTTTTTTTTTTTGTTAAATTATCAATTTTTATTTAATTTAAATATGTACAGGTACAAAATAACGGACCAAGTTTCATAAATGTAACCGGTTAAAAATAAGATACGAAATAATAATTAAGAAAATTAAAATAAAAAAGGATGTCAGATGAACATGCCCACATATGACGTTGTATCTAGACTTGATTACGCTCTAGGTTCATATTCCAAATATGCTATTCTATCTATTTATTTATTTTTTAATAAATAATGGAACAAATGTCTTCCAGAGGTGTTTGATGTATTTTTTGAAAGATATGATTTGATATTATATATTTATTTTTAATAAATAACGATTCCAATAATTTCTTTCCTAAGAAATTTTTTGACATCATTTTTTAATTTAAAAAAAAATTCCGTAACCTATACATAGAGTTAAAAAGAATGCAAACATAAACTTAATAAATATTATATAAGATTTTACACATTATTAATATATTAGCAGTGTACCCGTGCAATGCATCGGATAAGCAAAATTGAAATGGGACAAGCAAAATTGAAATATGGAGGAGAGGAAATAAAGCTTATATCAAATGGGAGCTTTTGAGGCTATTATAGAAGAAAAGGGAGTCTAGGACTCCACTTTTGGTTGCGGTGAAAAATCAGTGTATTAATAAGTTGTATATCATGCATACAATCTTGTAATTAAGAGATTTTTTATTTTGTTCTTTAAAAGCTTGTATTCAATGCATTAAAATTTGTATTTAAGACTTTGGTTTAAATGCTTATTAATGTAATGTATATATATAAGAAGAAAGCGGTCCAATATGATAATTTTAGAAGTTTGTAAAGAGAAAGCAAGTTTGACCCAATTAGGATTTGGTGTTGCATAAACAACTTGTACATTGTGCAAAATATTTTGTAATTAAGAGATTTTTGAATTATTGCATGAAATTATGGTACTCTATGCTTTAAAACTTGTACTTAAGATATAGGTGTAAATGCTTATTAATGTAGTATAGATAATAAACATTATATAAATTTTTACATTATTAAGATAGACTATTATATTATATATGTATATATATACAGATAAAAAGTTATCGAAGTTATACATATTAGCAGTGGGTTGGCAGGTTAGATTGGGTTGAGTTAGGCCTAACCCAATTTCAACCTCTTAAATGGTGGTTTAGTGCTTTGGCAGCTTGACGAGTTAGGTTCAATTAGATTGTTAACAGGTTGGTTTGGACGGGTTGACGGTTTTGTGAACTGTCTTAGAAAAATGTAATTATTGAACACGTAAATAGCAAACTAAAAATAACATCCATGTGAGAAAGGAAATACTGAAATTAAGGTCATGTTTGGCAAACTGCAACCGAAATAAAAATAAATTAAAACTTTGTTCTCGTTCATATTTTAAAACCAACATTTAGAATATTTATTTTGGAAAATCAACTTTCAAAACTTCTCGTTTTAGAATATTTATTTTGAATGTTTGTGTTGGGTCATCGATAGATTTGTTAATAACTCTCCGATTAGTTCTCTAATATTCGTCACATTATACAGTGATAGCTTTGGTTCTTTTACTTGTAAAAGGTTTGATATAAACTTAGTCGGATCAGCAAATCGAAGACTAGTCGATATCTCAAGACTTAGATTGACCGATACGGATCAAGATCTACTATTCGACTTACGCACCAAGCCTTTTCTCCTACTAGCCGATATTCTTTGATCAGATAGTCATCCCGACTATGGGCCGATCATTTGAAGATACTCATGCAGGAACTTTTATGACCAAATCTCACCAACATTATATTTGACAAAGACATTCTCTGAATCACCTGAAAAGGCATGTTTGTCCTAACATACTCTTGATGTGACCTTTCAGATTTGTTCCATTGACATACATTTAATTATATGTTGAATTAGAAAATAAATCTTGCAAGTGGTAAGAGTTCTACGATTGCGAAGATTAAGAAGATTGGGTGAAATTGCTTTCTATTTATGAGTATTTTCAGACGGGGTGGTCGGGTTCGGATGAAAAAATTGAAAATCCGATCGGATTTCGGATATGGAAATCAAGTCCTAATTTTTGGATCTCGGATTTCGGATTGCATTGGGATCGGTATTAAGTTAAGGTCGGTCGGGTTCGGTTTAGTTATAATGCAATATATATATATATATATATATATAATCGATTTTGACGATGAATTCAATCAATTTAGAAGATTGATAAATCGATAGTATGCTTAGAAATTAGAAAAATTCACGACCGGACTAATATTTTTAGAATTTTCAAAAGATAATTAGATAAGTAAGTATATTTATACATGTATATATATTTCGGGTTTTCAGACGGATGCGGTGGCGAAAAATCAAACTCAACCCAAACCCAAATGTTCCCTAAAAAGTCGGTTTTCGAATTTTCGGGTTTTACATAAACACCTTATTTTCGGCTTGGGTTCGGATTTCGAATAATTCAGGTTATATTTTCTTCATCATCGGAGACAAAGGGGTTGTGGATGGGAGAAGACAATAGAAAACTAAAAAGGTTCAAATATATACTAATCAAATATCAACCAACCGATGGTATTTGTAAATGAAAACACAATTGTTGATTTATAAAAAGTAAGGTTATATAAGATTATTAAATAAAATGAATAGGATTTTATTTGATCATTACACAAAATAAAACAATTTGATTTAGCCTATATTATACTATTATTGTTTGAACTCAGTAACTTTTAATTATTATTGTTGATTTCAAACAGTAATTACTAAACCATGATGGCCACCAAATCAAAACACCATCAAACCATACTATACCATCATATCATGGTTTTCGTTGGTTGACGGTTTTTATTTTTTATTTAATGAAAACAAACATGCAAAATGCATTCTTCTTAAGGTTGATTGTTTCGGGTAGGTATATATAATTTTAAATAATATTTTAATTAAATTCATATTCCCAGGGTATTCATGTAATGCAACTAGATATATCTTGATTTTAATATTTATCTCACTCGATGTTATTATATGATCTTATGTAATTTAAAAAAAAACGATGACTTTTTTATTTTTGAATAAAATATATTTTGTGTAATTTTTTAATTATAATTATTATTTAAGTTTAATAACGAAGTAATTTGTATTTTGTTTAGTAATATAATTTTCTTATAAAGATAATAGTTAATTATTTTGTTAGAACTCGATAATTATCCTAATTATATTTTAGATTTTTTATATTTTAAAATGAGATGTTTATTCTCGTATTTGGTTATGTTTATCCGCATTTAGTTATACGAATTCAAATATGGAGCTTTAATAAGTCGTACTTATGCATAATTTACTTGTAATCTTGAATTTTAAGTAATATGCATCAATATACAATACTTCATGCATAAAAAATGGTTTTTAAGAGTTTTTATCAAATGTTTTATAATATAGTATAGATATGAAGTATTATTTAATTAATATGGAAATCATATATTTAATTAAATTCTCATTTAAAACTTCAGTAATCCAGATATTTCGTGATTATCAAGTTTCAACACGAGGTTTTCTTCATCCATCCTTGATGTTTAATACAAATTTTTAGTTTCTGTAACAATTTAAATGTTGCAAATGTTTATTTAAGATTCCTTAAATTATTTATTTAACATTTCCATTACTGTCATTGTACAAGTTCAACTCTTTTTTGTACAATTTGCGTAAAGTATTATGCCCCATCGCTAGAGGGTGCAATTTCAATTAATACACGTGTGTGCATATAAACTGGCCCATTTTATTATAAAAATGGCTCGTCTCGTCGTGACCTTCTCTTGAATTCTCAAAACTTTTGTCGCTCCATGTCCCGAAAATCTAAGGGTTCCTCCGCAAGGTTCGTCCACGAAGGGTAAGTCCGAGCCATTTATACATGATTTTTTTTCTCATACACTACCCCTTCCAATGGGTTTCGAAAGTAACCCATCCAATGGTATTTAACATCCAAAAGACCGCCAAGCCGAAAAATTGGGTGCTATCATATAGCTTTGTATCGACTAAGTTCACAAGATCCATTGATATTCTTGGTATAGTAGATGCTATCATACATAAAATTATACTCAATTCAATTCGATGTTATTGTTGTTGAAAATAACAAAAAGAAAAAGTCCCAACTATACACCTAAAAATTTATTTGCTTGGCCCAAGTTGTTTTGATACGTTACCTAATTCATAAAATCCATCTATTTCACGACGTATAACCATAATTGATATTCTTTGTTTTAATTCACAAACACCAACTCCTTTTCAATATATTGACCAACAAAACAATCCAAATGATGTATTTTAGCTTGAACAAATGTTTTCGCCATTAATATATATATATATATATATATATATATATATATATATATATATAGGGTTGGGTTCACGTGAGACCAAGGGTTTTTCGTAAGACCCGTAAGACCAATTTATGAATTAATGATCTAATGGTTGCAAAGTTACAAGGTGGCAATTTCGTAATTAGTGAGAAGTCTCGTGACGTTTATAAATGTTCAGATCTGACGATTGTAAATCTAATCCAAGGGTTGAGAATTGGTCTTACGGGTCTCACGAAAAACCATTGGTCTCACATGATCCCAAGTCTATATATATATATAGGAGAGCGATCAAATGAAAACCACTCAATTTGTAAAAACTGTAAAAACCTCATTCCACCAATCATACTTTTTCATTTTGTTCATTTTTTTATGAGAGGTTGATTAATCATTTTTATTGTGAAGGATGTTAATCATGGATATTATCATCTTCATTATTTTAATTTTAGAGAAATACATAAAACAGTTTCATTAAAATTTCATTAAGTAGTATATGAAACAATTTCATAACCATATATAAAACAACTTCATCAAAAAAAAAAGTATTATATGAAACAATTTCACAAAATTAAACAATTTCATGAAAAAATTTCATAAAATTAAACAATGAAATCGACGGATGAGAGTAGTTTTTACGGTTTTTACAAATTGGAGTGGTTTTCATTTGATCGCTCATATACATATATAGTTCAGGATAAACTTAGGGCCTGTTTACTTGAGGCTTAATGAGCTTAGTGGATAAACCGGCTTATTCGCACAGACAAGCAAGGCTGTTTACCTTGGGCTTATTCGCTCAAAAATGAGCTTATTCGCTCAAAAATGAGCTTATTCGCCCAGATGAAAAACCTGTGTTGTCCAGGTTAAGCCAAGGTAAAAGACTTGCCCTACCCTTACACAATAGTCGCGCCTCTCTCAACTCATGTCTCTTCTCCATCGGTCCAACACCCTATTGTCGTGCCTCTCTCAACGCAAGACCTTCGATCTCTTCTCCATCGATCGACTGTTGCTCTCTTCTCCATCAATCGACAGCTGTTGCTCTCTTCTCCATCGATCGATGGCTGTTGTTCTCTTCTCCAAAATCGATCGATTAAGGTATTTGCTGTTGTTAATTTTTGCTGTTTGCTTAAGGTTTGCTTACCTATTAATATTTGCTGTTTTTATTACATTTCTTTACCTGTTAATGTTTCAAAAATCACACAGTTGTGTATGGCATTTGGTGATTATGGGTTTTGGTTATGTTCTTTGTCCTACTTAGGTTTTAGGTTACAATGACTGAAACATTTGAAAATTAGAAATTGGGTACAAGAAATTTCCAATTTCAAGCTGTTGTTTGCACCTTTAGCTGATTAGTAAATAGAGATTATGGTATATATCATGGAAACAAGAAATTTCAAGCTGTTGTTTGCCTTTTTTGGGTATTTGCTGTTTGCTCAGGGGTAAATTGGTCATTTCTGTTGATTCAGATAGAAAAATAAACAATAACATAAATTTAATAGAAAATTTGGTAAACAACCTCTTAGCAAAATAGCTAATATGAAGGGGTTGTTTACTAAATGTTTATCGGGTAAGCGCTTACCGATATCACTTACCTTACTAATTGAGCAGAAAAATATTTCTATCATATAGATTTATAGCTACCAAATCGTGGATTGATGTATCTGATCGAGAATCTTACCCTATAAGAGAGATAGCAAGGGCCAAAAGTCTTACCCGGTAAGTGGGAGAAAAAAATCTTACCAACAATCCATTTTTATGGCCAAGAATATTACACAATAAGGTAAGGGTAATGCTCTTGTTGATAAGCGTTTGATAATCGTCCCCTTAGTGTAGTTCCTTCACTCGAAGTTGGTTGCATAGATTATTAGCCATTCAGTATCCGCTGATATGGATCATCCAAGTATTTCAGCTTGTTTAGCGTCTAAACAGATGTTTAAAGGGCCGTTTATCAAACGCTTACCCGGTAGCGGTTACCAATAAAAATCAACACTATCACTTACTTACCAGGTAAGATTTTAGTCAACAAAAACGGCATTGTATGCAACAATTTATCCTGTAAGCGCTAACCGTGGTAAGAGTCATCGCTCACACTTACTGGGTAAGACTTTTTTTTAAGTATATAATATTTATATACGGCAAATGCAACAAATAAACTCACCCCCCCCCTCCTCATCTTTGATGAGGTTTGAACCCTTGACCTCTTAAGAAGGCCAGACACTACGATACTGCTAGACCAAAGACCCTTTGGTTACTGCATAAGACTCTTGGTCCTTGCCTCGCTCTTTCCGGTTAGGATTCTTGGTCCTTACCATATTTATCCGGTAAGGTAATGTAACTTGATAAGCACATACCAAATAAGCGTTTGGTAAACGGCACCTAATTCTCTCTCTACTTATTTCTTGATGCTCCAGCTTACTCAGTCACAGCCTACGAAAGTAGGGAGTGATACTACCCTACTTTCTAAATCTATACTAACAGAGACTAGCCTCTACCAATACTCCCTTTTGTATTTAGATCGAGGAAAAAGTTGGAAAAAATCTGATGATATTACTTGCTTTCACATTCATCATCATAAAGGAAGTCAATAACACTATATTAGCTCCAGACATAAATAAGGGAGCTTAGCAAATATTAATAAGAGAATCATTCAGACAAGGTATGTGAGAGAACTTACAGTTGGTTTGGTTGAAAGAACTACTTAATGATGTGTCTGTGCATGTTCGGGTTTGTGAGAAAACTCGTAATCCAGATGAACAAAAGCCCGTTCTATCTCAGGCAGCAGCTCCAGCTTCTCTTGCAATGACTCCCCGATATCATGTGCTATCTGCAGAGGCATCTCTGATGGTAGAACGATGTCTACCTCTACAAAGTAGTGAGATCCAAATGTGTAGGCACGCACGGTATCAATGTGCCTTATAGACTTGTGGTGGTTCCAACACAGGTATGTCAGCTTCTGTAGATATTCTGGTGCAGCTGATTTCCCAACTAGTGAGTTTACGTTCTCTAAAACCGTCAGTGACCATGTCCGGATAGTGTAAAGCGCCAGCTGTTCCAACAACACAATTTGGTTTACTTCTTTCTTCGTAACTTTCCTTATTTTTTAACTTTGCATCATAATCTAAATATTAATTCTTATAAACAATATGGAGAAATAGTAGAGTACAATTATAGCTCCAATTATAAACAACTTACAATTATCGCTCCAACAGGATCCATCCAATCGCTGATATAATTAGCAAGCAGTACAGCTATTAGACCAATCAGATTGGTGACGACATCAAAAAAGTGATCCTGAGCATAGGCTTTCACAATCTCATTGGTAAACGAGCGGCAATATATACAGAGGACAAGTTTCACCAATGTCACAGAAAGCATGATGCCAACAACCCATTGCTCTTGCTCTTTGGTCAAGTTAAAATCCTTTTCCTGAAATGGTCATAATGGTTTATGTTAACAATACATGTGCATAAGACAACTCAAAACTTTGAATCCATTTCTTAAACAGACATAACCTGAATCACCCTCAAGGACTTAACTAACGAGCCACTACATGGCTCCACCATTTCCTTGGTTGGTCCTCTCTTACTGCACTGTTCTTTCAGATCTTGATGATTTTACTTGCCTCTTCACAGATAATAATATAAGTTCAAGTCTGACTTGATATTTGGAAAAATATCCTCTGTTTTTTGGGCAAAGCCTCCTGCTCTCTCTCTCTCTCTCTCTCTCCCTCTCTCCCTCCCTATCTTTGTTTTTTCTATTTTCCTTTTTCTACTGTCTTCTGGTTTTGTTTAGTTTTCCTTGTCTTTCTTTTTTGTTCTTCTCTTCCTTTTGTGTAATGTTACTTATCTAACTTCAGTTTTTTCTTATATTTTGTTTTCCTTTTCCTATGTTAATTACACTCAGCATTGTACAAGTTATATATTTGATTTATAATTAATTAGAAATGTCAGGGAATAATTGTTCACTATGCATTTGAACTTGTACCACTTCCATTAAGTGCAACCCAGTGGCTAAGAACAGTAAAGTTCAGTTGTTCACTTATTACATACGAACACTTATAAACAAGCATTTCCGTCATCTATTATCACCTGTAGACAGTCTCTCTAAATTACTCAAAACCCCCAAGTTATCAGAAGCTCATAGTCCTCCAATAGTTCCTTATTCAGTTTTATCAAATTGACCATGACTGGTTTACTTACATCAGATGCCAACGTGCGCACAGACTCCAAAATTATCTGCAGTCCAAGAGTTGCCATGACAGATGCGAAGACAAGAATTCCCTGCAAATCACTTTTGAATTCAGATTTGAGTGCCGATGGTAGAAAATTAGAGTTATACTCCATATGTTTTTAGACCGTAAAGTTAAAGGCTCCAAACTAATATGTCATGCATGCAACTTAAATAACTACCTTTTATGCCAATTTCATTAGATCAGTACAAGTAATCTGGGTTGTTGTGCCCAAGTAGAATTGGTAGTTGGGAATATAGTAAGTGGAAATAAGAACCATTATGCAGCAAAAACTGTACCAAGCATTAAATTACCCACACACAAAAATCATAACAAAAAATGGTCCCACTGGAAGTAGTAATTTTGTGAAGATGTTCTTCTGGATGATGTTCCTCTCCGCTACAAGATGTGGTATAAGAATTCCACAATCACCATATTTGCCTCCATGTAATCAGGGTAAATTTAAATTATCAATTAGGACAAACACCTAACAGAATCACAGGAGTCTCTACTTTTATCGGACGACAGACACATGCTTCGTTATAAGTATCAATTTAGATCATAGTGATCATTGTAGATTAGATATGACAAGAAAATGTGTGATGTTGTCATGTTTGGAAGCATAAATGGATAACAGAATGAGTGAACGGTGAAAGAGGTTTTGCCCTCTTAAGTGCGAGAAGTGCCATATACATGAATAAGATTTTTATCAACATTGGTCACAAGCATATTCTGTAGAGCTGATGTTTGGACGAAGCATGACAGTTATAGAAATTTATGTTGCAACTCTTAATTATAAATCATAACAATTAGTTGATATTGATTGGAAACCATCTGATGTTAGACATATAAGTCCAAGTTATTTTAAACCTAACCATGTGATGGGGCATAATTCTTGCAAGTGGAAGTAGTAAATGCATCAAGTGATGGAATGCACACTAACCAAAGGCTGCATTCGTCTCTTTCCAATTGGATATTGATAGGGGTTTTGAGTCTGCATGGAGAATGCTGTGAACCATAGGATAAATCCAGATAACAGATCAAGAAGTGAGTCTAACGTGGATGCAATTATGGCCAATGAACCACTCCTAACGGATGCATAAACTTTTGCGACAAAAAGAACCATGTTTGCAACATTTGAAATTCTAATGGCAAGTGTCTCCCTTCTTGCCAAAGTTGCTTTCTCTTCCTGCAAGTCAAACAAGCATCTCAATTCAAGCCATCTTGCCTTAAGTTGTTTATTGTTGTATAGGCTGAAAATTATACACAAACTATTGACTCCTACCTCTGACAAACGAGGTACAAAACCACGCTGTGCTAGGGCATCCATCTCGGTAAAGCCCTCCAGCATCTCTACCTGCTGCTGGTAATACTCTGCTACATTGTCTTCTGGGACTGATAAATTTAAGCAAGTCAATTGAAATACATTATAGCTGCATGAAGTAATACAACGCAAATGAGTAAAGTGCGTTGTGAACTGCCAAAAGTTGGAATTTTGTACAACATGAATGCAGACAAATGAATTTGAACGTGAAGTAGGCTCTAGAACAACATAAATTGGTTATAAACTGAAATCTGATATATCGTCTATCATACATATATTGGAAGATTTAATATATTGCTGGACAAGCAAAGTTTAAGCTCTCACATAATCACCATAACAAGTTAAGAACATCTGAAACACAAGACTGCTTTCAGCATCACAGCTACCATTGTACAACCAAAATATGCAATTCACCATAAGCAACTCCAAATCATGTGACATTGACACTAATAAGCTAATAACCTAATGCATCCAATCTCCAACCATCACCCATGCCAGCAAACGCCATTCCAACCCTAACATGCAACAATAAAATTAGACTGTGTTGTACATTAGATGTTTCCATGTGCATCTAAAATCATTCGAGAGATTCAAAAATGGACAGAACTAAATTAAACAAAATGTTGGGGCCAAAATCCACTATAAAGAAACATCCTTTCTGTAATCAGAATTATGTATCGCTAAATCATACATTAGCCTACTTAGACCATATTTCCAATAAGTTGAATACTAGGTGATAGGGGCTTTTTGAGATCTTCTAAGATGTTAATAGGAAAGACAATTGAAAGCTCCCTATTTTAACAGGTTTTTCAAAAGTATCCCCCACTCTTCTATGAATTATTCTGCTTTTTACCCCCGCTGCCTCCTTGAAAGTGTGAATTCTTAAATCAGTAATAGGGCCTAGTCTTATTATTTCATTGCATGTTCTTAATCTGTCAAGAAAAGAAGATGGTGCATCAATTTATTTGCATCTGACACTTAGAACTCAACGAGCACTGCCTACTTCATAAGAAAATCTTATCCCTTGCCCTGTCTTTTTCTTAGAAATAGATTAACAGATTAACAATCATAACAAATAAATAATCTCTTTTGCATAAGAACCCAGTATCGCTTCAAGCACTAAGCATAGAAATAGTAGACTCTGTGTTCATCCAAACGCATAGGCGATTATACTTTACAGACTCGACTATTGTTAGCATCTATTACACAGTTCAAATACAAGAGTACTTTGTCGTTTTTGTTACAGATTCGAAATAGTTATTAAATCAATTTGACAAACAAGAAACAGGAGTAAATAAATCGGCGGTATGAGAAACAAAACATGATTAAATAATTAAAACTAAAAAACAAAAGGGGTTTCATCAGCACCTAACAGCATTGTGCTAATATTAGCCCCTCCAAATCATATTATTTAAATAAACTGTCAGAATCAACACATAAAGGGAATGGAATGAATAACTGAATGTTACCTAATACCCCAAGGCAGTCATGGAGACCTCTAGGAGGCTTCTCTTTATGTTCCGATGACAACTGAAACCCGTCGAAATTCAGCCGCCATGACCCGTCACAACCACCAGTACAACCGCCGCCGCTTCCGATATTTACATCTGTTAACAGAGATTCCTCCTCAGAGCCACCGTGATCTGTATCACCACTCATTGGTTCCACCATTACAGACCTAGAACCTTAGAAAACAGAATTCGGGCTTCAAGTGAAACAAGGGTTTCTGTTTTTTGAATATGCAGTACTCCGATGCACAAACAGAATCTGGGTACATAAAAGAGAGAGAATGGTACATAATGTAAATCCAGTGTCAGTGAAGGGTATATTTGGAATAAGAGAAGATCCGATCCTGGTAGGTAAGCCTGTGGCTGTAGATGCAAGATAGGAGCGTGAAACGTACTCGCTACATGATTGGTACGAGCATGGAACGTGGCGGCATTTTGTGGTGATAAAAAATGGCGAGTGCGGTGCGATGTTATGGCCGAGGAGGAATCGTGTACGATAACGTCTACAGGATGACTGTAAACCTCAAGTGGGGGAAGGGATAGTGGTGGTCCTCTTTTCGCTTTTTATGAATCATTGGGAGCCAAAAGGAAAAAACAAAAATCCGTAAATATTAGGGATCGTTTATCAAACACTTATCCGGATAAGCATTTACTAAGTCACATTACCTTACCGGATTAATATGATAAGGACTAAGAATCTTACATCGTAAGAGCGAGACAAAGACCATGCATCTTACCCGGTAAGTGAGGACGACGACTCTTACCATGATAAGTACTTACCGGGTGAGTTGTTGCATACAATGTCATTTTGATAGACTAAAATCTTACCCGGTAAGTAAATAACAGTGTTAAATTTTACTAGTAAGCACTTATCGATGTTCTTACCTCAAGTTTCTTTCCTTAGGCAGGTTTCACGCTCAAAACTATAGTAATCAATCATCTGCTTCATTTCTTTGCAATCACCTGTGCTGGTAAGTATTTGGTAAACAGCCCTTTAGTGTTTGAAATTATGAAATAAACTTTAATAAGTCAAGATGCCATCTTTTAGGTTTGGTTTTTGTTTTGAAAATGGGAGTTCATCGTTAACTTTGTTTATTATATACGTTAGAGTTAGGGGTTCAACCATGTTTTCCCTCTCTTTTTAATAAATTTTTATTGTTTTTCGTTATTTTTGTAAATACCATGAAAGTATAAGGGCCAGCTATGCAATTAACCAATAAAAACTCCAGAACAAGCATCTTCTTTGGTGACCCTGTGGTTAGGGGTGTTCAAAAACCCGACCAACCCAATCAATCCAACTCAACCCAACTCGAAGCAAAACGATGTCTAATTGAGTTGTAAAATTGTCAAACCGTATGTATTTGGTTGATATTGGGTTACTATTATTTGAACCCAACCCAACCTGATGAACCCGATATCCTTTTATTTCTTGGACTAATATGATTGTTGAATTTCAATTAATATGTATATTAGACAATTATACTATCATGTATGTTCTTCATATACGCATATTTTCAATTTATTCACATCTTTATATAACTCATTCGTATATATGTTCAGTAACTGTAAACATATATATATATATATATATATGTAAATTGAGAAAATTAACTGAATGTGATATACGTAAGAAGTATGGATAAGTTGTATCAAATGGTTGATGATGAAAAACAAATTATGAGTAGAGAAATAACATATTCTAGGTTAGAAGAATACTTTAATGTACCAAAATATCAACCTAACTAACCCGTACGGGTTGGGTTGCACTTTGGTTCGGTTAAGATTTTTCAAACCGCAAGCATTGGGTTGGGTTGTTCAAATGTCTTCAACCCGATCAACCCAACCCATGAGCCCCCCCTACCTGCGGTCATCTTCTTCGACAACTCTCTTGTCATTTTCTTCGGCAACCAGAAACACATATCTGGGGGTTTATCATGGTTTTCCATCTTTCTCAACCCCAAAAAATCGTAATTAAATGAGAAAAAAAACTCAACAAAACCAAAGCTCAAAACCCTTTGAATCCAGATGATGAACTTATAGCACAAAACCAACTTTTATGATAGACTACATGAAGGTGGTGTTTTACCCTTGTTAATGGATTTATAAAGAAAATCGTTGGGGTTTCTTACAAGCCAATAATGAAAAGATCCATTACCTGTGATGTTGGTCGTAACTATCGAATTTGTAAATAATAAAATTATCATCTGATTCAACGTTTAGGAATAAATTCTTAACGCTTATCTTGTAATGGTCATATATGATATGCATCATCTATTAGATTTGACACGAGTGTTTTATATCTGATATACATTATCCATCGGATATTGCACAACTGTTTATATCCTATATACATTATCTATCGGATATTACACAAAGTACTAACATCTAAATCTTGAACAAAAGAACTTATTAACACAAGGCATTAGATCTTAGTCACTATTGGATCTATAGTTTAAAATAAGATATAAGATCAAGTCTTTGATTTGATCGTCTTCCATCCTAATGGAAGAATCCAATTAACTTATCTTCATGGTCATTTCATCTTGATTTTCAAGAAGCCGTATTCTATTCTAAAATTTGTAGCATCTGATGTTTCAACTTCATAATTAATGGATCTGATATATATCTCATATTTCATAATAGAAAAGATATGATTTCCATTGTAAAACCTATTTTATAATTTTTCATCTGATCAATCAAAACTCTTTTCAGCAAAATCGAAGACTAGTTGAAGTGATATTAGATCGATACCAAAGCGGCTTGGATTTATCATCTAACTGATAGAATATCATAAGATAAATAAGTCAGATATTTGACAAATGCTATACAGCAAGCCGATTTGGAGAGAAGACTTTGGAACCAAGTTTCTTTTACCATATCTAATCCTAATGTAGGAACATGTTCGAACATGTCAGCCAAAGTAAGTTTAATTCACTTACTTTATAGTTCATTCTACACACAAAAAGCATGGATGAAGACTAGATGTCAGCCAAAACAAGTTTAAAGGTACCATCTTATTAGTACCATACTTTCTTTACTATTTATTCATCATACAGAAGGATGGATTGAAACAACAAGTGTCTACATCATATCAAAATGCTGATATGAAAAGTACAAAGATACATGGATCAACAAATCAAATAAAGACACGGGTTGAGATTTCATTATTGCATTTGATGCATGAACTGCTATAAAAGGCGGTCTATGTATCATATGCAACTTTGCCATTTTGAAGAATTACTAAGTTCATATTCTTTCATATCGATGTCATAACCTCTGAAAACTGTTTTAGTTCTTCAAATTTGAAGAGTACATTCTTCTTTTCACTCTTTCAGTGTTAGCAAATTTATCACCACTCAGATTGTTTAGGATCATAGGTCTTACATTCCTAACTTCCACAATAAATATGTAATTCTTTGTTTTAATACAAAATATAGAATTAAAAAGTGAAAAATTAATGTGTTTGTATTCAACTCCCCTTCTACAAACACCTGTAATGTAAGTCATTAACCCTTCAGGGACTAACAAGTGGTATTAGAGTAGTTTGTTTAAATTCGTAAACAAGATCTGCAATGACTTCTATTTCCCAAGTTAACGAGTCTCTATCCTTCTTTTTATCAATCATCTAGATTCTCTAAATCTCAATTCTAAGAGTCAATCTTTAAAATAAAAAAAATCCAAGCTGTAGAACATGACTAGATTAATTCTTTTATCTTATCCTCTAGTAATGAAGAAGATGAAAAAGCACATATGTGCATGATGATGACTCAACTTTCGAGTCATCAGATCTTAGGGGTTGTTTGGCTGTTGCTGAATGGTTTGGTACAGAATGATTAAGATGTTCTCATAATATAGTGCAAAATGAAATATAATTATTTGGTAATTATTTACAATTAAATTAGGGCGTTGAATGGTTAAGGGAGGCCCATGATACAAGATCATTCAGAGGGTTTTAGGGGTTGTTTGTTTACCTCCTAATAGTTCCATTAAGAGGTAGCTTCTGAATCGTTAAGAAGCGAATCTTGTTTGGCAAAAAAAAGTTTGTCTCTTAATGGTTTTAAAACCCTCTGAATGATTTTGTATCATGGGCCTCCCTTAACCATTAAACACCCTAATTTTGTTGTAAACAATAACAAACAATTATATTTCATTTTTGCACTATACCATGAGAGCCTCTTATTCATTATGATCATTTTATCATTCTGCATCAAACTATTCGACAACCGTCAAACAACCCCTTTAAAACCATTAAGAGGCAAACTTTTTCTTTTATCAAACAAGATTCACCTCTTAACGATTCAGAGGCTGTCTCTTAATGAAATTATTAAGAGGTAAACAAACAACCCCTTAGTGAAGCCCTTCCGATGCTACAACCGTTGTACTTACTTTCGAACCTCCATCTTCTACTAAAAGGCTCTGTTCCATGCAGTAAGTTACACAATCTCTTCTCATCCTTCTAAATCCTATGATGGTATATCTTTGTGTATCTTTATATGGATATGTGTAAGGCTCCTTTAAAAATTAAAAAAAAATTGTTGTATATTTATATGGCAATGATGTTTAACTTTAACTATTTTTTGTTCACCTCCTCAAACAATGAATGTATTCGTTTCATCACTAATAGCTTGAACTTGCTCTTGCTATTGTATATAGCTTCAATTATTTCCAGCCACTCTGTATATCTGTAAATAACTAGCCACTGAATGTTTTCATCCTTTCCGGAAAAGTCATCATAAAACAATCTTATTTTGACTAAATGATCTTTGTATCCACTCTTTTTACATCAGATTATCTTAGCATCAATGATTTTTTTCTTCTCGACTTCTTCTGTAGAAGGCGTTGTTGAATTTATCAAGACTTTTCTCTCTTTCAACTTGAAGAGCTTTGGCTGTAGCCAACTCTATTTCAGAGAGAATCACATTTAGACTAAGCTCATTTTGAAGATATTGATGAGTCAATTATAATGGTATAATTTGTAAAAAAATTGTATTTTAGCTCATATAGGATTATTTATGTTAATATGATAAGAGTGAAAAATAAAAAAAACAAGGAATATAAAGTAAATTAAATAACTAATTATAAGGGTATAAAGTGTAATTTAGAAACTAAAATGATTTGATTTTTAATATAGGGAAGACGTGAGAGGTTGTGCAACTTTAAAAGTTTATACATTCAGCATAATAATTTATACCTCTTAAATTTTTTAAGATAATCGCTCTCTTTCATAATATAGCATAG